GTAAGATTCTTGAAATACTTGATTTGACTCAATTTTTTCTTATTTCAAGAATCTTACCAAGTAAAAATTTCTTACTTCAAAAATTTTACTTAATTTGAGTCAAAATTTCAGACTAACAAGACCAATAATCTTACACATTCTGAAAACAAGATGATTATTCTTACACAGTCAGTTCTTGTTTAGTAAATCAGTCTCAAAACAAGATCAAAAAGATTTTTTGGCTGGATATAAGATTTTAAAACTTGGTTAAGTGGACATTTTTTTGCAGTGTGGGAGAAAAGGTTAAACTGTTGGTTGAAAAGTGGTGGTAACCAGAATGACAAGGGTACTTTCCACATTTTTTGTAGGTTTTTTGTCATTCAGCTGAATATGAGAACATCATGTCTGACAAACTACTGACTAAACAAACACGTCACCTTACTTCAGCTTCAGTGTTGTTTAGTTTGCTGGTTTATCCAAGTGTTGTGAAATCGCTGGATTTTTATTTATTTGTTTATTTGTGCTACAGCATACGTAATGGGGCTAAAATAAGAGCATTTAACAAATCAAAACTGTACATCTAAGTGTTAAATAGTGTAACATTTAAAACATGCGAGTGACAAAGATAGGGAAAACTGRTCTGGTTGTATCTAATAAACTGGGAAATGTTGTGCTGTTACGGAATGCATGAGGGTCAGTTTGGTCTAAAATGTCTGATGGGAATAAGRTCTTTGTTTTCAGTCAGAAATGCTTCTGATGATTTGATCATAACTATGTTATTGATCTGTGAAGTACTGTATGTAAGTTTCACTTTATTAACACCAGTGGAACTCTTTTTTTTCTATATAATCTGATAATCAGAATAAATCTGTGACCATGTCATCAGGACTGAAGCATCCCTTCAGACATTCACTGAGATTTATTTTTATTGTAGTATGCTTCAATTCAAGAAAGTCATTTCTTAAAAACATCTCATTGCTCCAGGTGAGGCTTGAACTCACAACCTCGACATGGCTCCACAGAATACTGTCTTATAAGTACCGCGCGCTGACCGATTGCGCCACTGGAGCTACACTGCAACATATTCATGTGGATCTGTTCTGTGTAGCTGTACTACAAAATGTCAAATATTTTCTACAGACAGGATACCAGTTTTCTATTTTTGACAGCATTAAGACTTTGGTAAATATAACCATTGCTGCATTTTTCATTTATAATCCATAATTCCAAAGTGCACAAAAGATTATTCAAACTAAATGAAAGTTTGATCTGATATTTCAGAAACGAAGCAAACAGATGAGACAAGTTTCCATTGTTTTATTTCATTATTGGGAATATAAAAGGCAAAACAATACAAATGTCATTCAGATGTCTTTAAAGTTTATASCAAAGCCTTAGTGTACTTGTGATTGGTGGCTATTAACTTTGATAGCAACTTTAATATATATATTTTTTCTTTTATTCCTTACTTACAGGTTATTGCTTGGCATCTTTTAGCCTTTTGAACACACCACGTGATTTTACTCATTCATCCTTACACATGTCCATGTTAGTATTCAGCTCCGTTTTTCTGCACTTACAGATGTTCATACACTAAAAACCCATCAATGTTCATTTTGTTGGAGAATGACTGCTCCATTTCTCACAGCCAAACTGTCACACAGAAGGATAGTTTTCAACAAGCGTGTACGTTGGATGGTGAGTTTCAGGGAAGCAGGAGGTTTTTGACGCAAATGTACAGACCGGACACAGASACGTTAGATGAAACAAAGTGCTGTTGTGGCWGCAAAACTGCTTGCAAACCGTCAGGAATAATCCCAGGGAGGAAAGGGAGACACGAGGAGCCATAAAGGCTGCAGCAGATATGGACCAGACATGGCATGCAAGACACATAATGCTCAACTGCTGAGTAGTGAGAAACAGAGGGAATAAGAATGCTGGGACTAAACCAAGGAGTAAGATGGGTGTGGCAGATCTGAGGAGCAGAGACCAGCAGTGGAAAAGTACTGGGAGGAGTGGCTGGTGGCATTGAGGAACAAAAATTAAACACAAGGCAACATAATTATCATATACAGCCAAATAT